GTGACAATGAAGTTAGTAATTATTATTATAATTAGTAGTAGTACTAGTACATCCCCATGAAAATAATGCAATTCTTCGATAAAGTGTTCTAGGTGCACCAAATCCTAAAAATTGATGATTTAAGCCTGTTGCTAGGCCGTTGCTAGGTAACATGGTGACATTATAATATATCATGTATAATTCAACTTCAACAGATTTGACTGCCATTACATGAAAGTTATGTAATTCTTTCATTAGATATTAGGTGCTTAAAGGTTAAGAACAGGTCGTTGGTAGGTGGTTGACAAACAACGTGATGATGTCATAACATGATGTAGATAAGAACCTTCAGGGGCCTAAGATGTAGCTGTTTGTCAAGAGATTTTGTTTATTACTTCGGGGCAAAAAAATTGTCCATCAAAACTTTATTCAGTTTCTTTGTGGCTTTAACAAAGAAGCAGTTCGGTGATAATTAAAGGGATCAATCCAGTCGATGACTCCAAATGCTAGAAAGGTACATTTCATGCACTGCATGTGTGTCGTTTTTCCTTGTTATTTTTAAATACACTACATTATGTGATCAAACCACAATCCCCTGACATGTGAATGGTCCCTGGGGCACAAGCTAGTGTACTCCTAGAGGGAGTACAGAAATCTGTGCCAAATCATTCCCCCACCCCCACCCCACCAAATACCTACCATAGCCCCAGGTTGAGATTGGTTTGTTTAAAAGAAGTAAGCTAGCTCTACAACTTCCCTTACTTTAAGCAGCTTTGTGCGCTTCAGGGATTTCAAAATGTGAAACACGTATGAATATGGATATTTCAGTACTTGTTTTTAAGCTTGAGGCATAAGGTTTTTTCCCGGTTGCCCAAATAATTGGGGAACTTCAAAAATTTAAAAAAAAAAAACTTGAAAAGGGGGAATTGGAATTGGAAAAAAAGTTCCTTTCCCCGGCGGTGAGATGATGGAAGTCATCAGCTCTTTTTACTTGTTATTTGCTTTATTATTTATGATTTGTTAGAGACATAAAGAGACTTCATCTGTATATAATTTGGTGTAACTTGTGTTGCATGATGACAGTAAAAATTAATCACTTGCTACTGGTTTGATAAGACTCATTAGGGCAGGGAATTAATTAGACCAAATCAAAGAACAAATGAATGAATGAATGAAACCATTCTTCATAATTATACATGACACTGACCAATGAATATATTAAGAAACAGTTATAAGCCATTTTAGAGGAGCTTACACGTTTGGCCAGTGAGCATGAGATCCTCGGTTCCCTTCAAGGAGGAGACACAAATCCCTGCGGAGTTATCTCGACAAGAGTGTCTGGGATAAAAGCTTCTTGTAATTATGTGTTACTGAGAAATGCTGTATTTATATGGGATTACCAGTAATATTATTTTTGCTTTCACATCCTTTCATCTCGTCCTCTAGATGTCTGTCCTCTCCCATCAAGTATCCATTGTGAGTCAGGAGCTGCAGGAAATGACGCGACTTCTCAGGCCTATCTTTCACAACCCGTCCGCACTGCTGACTCCCAGTGCCGTGACTCCCTCGCCCAGCGTGTCCCCACTCAGCTGCTCTCTGGCCCTACACCTCAATACCCAGCGTGCACCTGTGCACTGTTCTGATGATCAAAATCCTCCGTCGTCCATGATGCATGAACCGCCCTCTCCACAGCTGAGCATGACCGAGGTGTTTCAAGGAGAGTTCGATCCACTTTCTTCTTCTCCTTCCCCCCATAGTCCTCCATTCTCTCACCAAACCAGTACCACTCCCCCGGTCTCTCACCGCTCGGCTCCCCCTTCGCTCAACAGCTCTCCCCACGAGCACACAATCATGCCACATCCCTCCTCTTCCACCTCCATCCCTTCTCTTTCTTCATCAAGCCACCCATTATCCATCACTCCCCTTCTGGTGGATTTATCAGAGCCACAATCACGGCTTCGGCCCCACTTCCCACTCCAATCCCATTCTGAGTCCCACCTCCAGTCAGAGACCCACTTCATATCCCAGTCTTATCCTTATTCCCTTTCCCAGTCTGACATCCAGCCTCAGATTTCTCTCCAAACCTCCAGCATGGCGTCACGTTCCCGAGAGCCCCTCCTGGACCTGCAGAGGGTGGAGTGGGGGGAGCACACCACCCAGCTTAGCCTCGTAGATGAGGGACAGTCCTCGATGTGAGCACACAGGAAGACTGGGACACTCGACGGGAGCAGCATGCCACACATCCTACTGCATGACAAAGTTTGGCATGCGGGTTACAATGTAAATATGTTGATTTTAAACTGTTGGAAACTGTTATCATGAGCACCTTCAAGAAGATCTGAGAATAAACGTTTGTTTTACAGTTTCATTTGATTTATTTACAGTCAATCATATAAAGGAAAGACTTCTAAGTGTATACTAAAAGCATGTTTTTTCTCCTTTTACTGTGCTAGCACTGGTTTCTGTTAGGATACCAGTCTGTAACATGATTTGAAAGGTGTGCACCACACAGCAGTAATGTTAGACTGAAAATGAATGCAGCTCTTACACAACTCATGCAAAAGCAATGATTGGAGCTTTCTAAAGGACATGAGCATACTTTGCCAAGTTTAGCCCTGACTTAAAATAGCTTGAATTTTGCATAAACACCAAAGTGGTGCCTTATGTTTTTAATTTGGGAAAATCTGTGAACATAAAATCCGTTAAAGGGTGTTACAGCACCCACAACCCCCTCAACTAGACCCCCGAGTCCCTTTTAATAACTTCTTTAATACAGCTTTAAATAATTTAGCTGTGGTCACACAGGGTGGACTTTTTTTTATCTCCACACTTTGAAGCACCACACTAACACACAGGGATGAAACAACTTCGCAATGCCTCATCATTAAGTTTTTATTTTAGCTATTTAGCAGCTGCATTGATGCAAATTATTAGCTAATCGAAAGCCAAAGAAAAGGTTTAAAAAATAATAATAATTGGAATTCTTTTACTCAGTCAGCCGTCTGAACGACTGCACAGTGGGGCAGACAGCGCCCCAGTCCACAGGCCTGCGGTACTCGCCTTTCTCCAGTAGGTACTGGCGGCCTTTGTAGTTGGGGTGCTCATAGAAGACCCACCAGCCTCCCAGGACCCTGCAGGAGTGCACCTCTCTCCAGTGAAACGTCTCCAGCACAGAGGCGCAGTCCTCGCTCGCTTCAAACACCTGACCGGAGAAATCGGCTTTGCCATACAGCTGGATCTTGTAGGAGTCTCCAGGGGCCTGAGTGAAGCGGGATACAGAAGAAGACGGTAGGTAGAGGGGAGGGGGTTGGGAAAACAATGAAGCTAGGTTTGATTGATGTCACTACAAAATATGTTGTTTCTTATCATGGATTTATTCCACCGATCCAGATTTCAAGGTTCACTTATGTGAAAATGAAGTGGCGTTTTTAAAATGCTATAAAAAGCCCCAATGTCCCCTGAGATGTGTAGGATCTTACACAGCCACTTTCCCACTAACCACAGTGTCTTTGACCTCTTGGTACGAGGCACCTGATGTGTTGAGATGGCTTACAAAGTGAATCATCTTGCAAGAGCTGACTCTGTCATTGAGGCCATTCCAGCTGTGGTAGTTGGGGTATTCCCCTCTCTTCAGGACGTACTGGTAACCCAAGTAGTTTGGTCTCTCGTAGATCACCCAGGTCCCGCTCTCCACACGGGCCGAGTTGCAGCAACTCAGATAGGAGTGGAAGTCGGTGCAGTCGCTGTCGCATTCGTACCTGCGACCCTGGAAGTTCTTGTCCTCGTAGAAGATGATCTGGGGGATTGTATGTGAGTGATAACCTGGTATTAATGATTTTACATGCCAGATCTAAATGTTGTTCTACTCACCCTGCCCATCTTGGGACCGACTGTGCTTCACACAAATATCTACAATAATGTAACGTGTATGTGCTCATATTGCCCTCTTTTATAGCTTCACAGCCCTCTGAAACTCACACAATTGCTTGGTCATGAGAATGAGATCCAAAATTTGAGTCAGTGGTTCCACTGCTACTCGTGTTTTCCAGAAAGAGGCTGTGGGATTAGACCACATAAAGACCTCAGGCACTGACCAACTCTTTACAGAAAACTGTAAACACACTGCACACAGTGCGAACTACACACACGCACACAGAGTTACAAATAACACACTGATGGATGATTGCATAAATATTAAACTGCACTTAATCATAGCAACTCTAAGCTAAAGTAGAGCTCCCATCAGCTGAACTGCTGAGGTGTATTGCCATCCAGTCAGTGTCATACTTCTTCCTCTTCAGTCCAAAATGCTGCATTGTCGTCCAGAGCTTCAATACTTCAGTTCTGAATTTCATATTAGAAGTAAGATGATGCACTTCTTGCTGTGTAGCATAAATATCTCCCAACTTCAGCTCACGGTTCGGGGTGTAAACTTTTCACACTGGAAATCCATTGGTTAGTCTGCTCACTTACACATTTCTGTGGATAATCTGTTTTCTTTTCATCTCAGTGCAGAGATGGCAGCAGTTCCTCATCTCTGCAGTCAGTACTCACTTTTCAGTCTTAACACATACACGCTGTGCTCACATGAAAGCAGAAGCATTTACACAGGCTTTACATAGACATGAACAAGGCTGGCTTAACAGCTGGTTTTTGGTGATATCACTCAACAAAGGTTGTTAAAGAAATTAAACCAACTAAAGCACAGTTGTTGTTTTTTTCCCTGATTTGTGATTTTGTCATATTTTATATAGTGATTATGAAATCTGTATTTATATATATTGCCCTGCGGGGGGTCTTTATCCTTCAAGGCCGGGTCCTCTATCAGAGACCTGGGAGCTTAAGGTTCTTGCACAGTAACTTTGCTTATCCTAGGACGGCGCTCTTGGATGTTGTTCCAGGGATCTGCTGGAGCCAATCGCCTAGCTCAGGAGTCACTGCACTGAGCTCTGTGTTTACCACTGGGACCACTGTTACCTTCATTCTCCACATCTTCTCGAGCTCTTCTCTGAGCCCTTGGTACTTCTTCAGCTCGTGTTCCTTCTTCCTGATGTTGCTGTCATTCAGTATCGTTACGTCTCTCACTACGGCCGTCTTCTTCTGCTTGTCCACCACTACTATGTCCATTGGAAAGCCATCACCAGAGCCTCGGGACTTCCAGGCCATATTCGGCATATATGTTCCTGTACACTATGCCAGACACTTGGTTATGGCGTTCTGAGTATGCCCTTCCTGTTAGCACCCTGCTGTTATGTGCTGGATTGGCTCAGAGGCGTCTTTACACAGCCTGCACCTGGGGTCTTGCCTGGTGTGGTGGACCCCAGCCTCTATGGATCCTGTGCTCAGAGCTTGTTCCTGTGCTGCCATGATCAGTGCCTCTGTGCTGTCTTTTAGTCCAGCTTTGTCCAGCAACTGGTAGGATTTCTGGATGCCATCCATTTCTTTTGTCTGCCTGTGGAGCGTGCAGAGCCTGGCTTTCCACGATGGGTCTTCTCCTTGCTCCTCTTCTTACTTGTGTTTGTGGTTTTGGGGAATCAAAACAAGCAATGTAAATGTATTTGTTTAAATTCATGATAGCTCAGTAAACGTTACATAGGCCATTTAAAAACATTTGAAATGATTTCTTTATTCTTGTTCTCTGTACAGGTGACACAATTTAATTTATCTATATTTCTGAGGACGTCAAAGCCACAGTGAACCACAGAAGACAGACAAAGGAACTACAGGTGGCTTTGGTAGACATTTCCTGTACATGCATGTATTGATTCATTATTTTTATTGTATACAGTATATTCATCTGTTTAATTTTGTTTAACACACATTTTCTTACTGTATTTTTTATTTCAATTAAGTAAAAAAACAAACATCTTCTTTTAGTTTTGTATTTAGTTTTATTACCTGATAATTACCTAAAGCTTAAGCTCTGGACTAGTTTACACACCCTCAGCAGCAAACATATAATTTCCCCCTTGGCACCACAGTGAGGCAGCATTTGCACAGAAAAGCACAAGCTTATGACAGGTCCAGCATATGTACAGTCCCTCCTGCACCAGTGACAAGTGTCACCAAACAGACGGAAAGTACATGTCTTTATTTTAATAACAGATTTTGAATGTTAATATTAAACATTTCCAATTGGCTTTGTTTCATTTTCTTTTTATCATATTATATATTAAGCTATAGAAATATTGAATATCTTGTGGGCCTGTGAGTAAAACGTAGCCTCTGTGAGTTACATATGAAAAGTTTTGCATCTCCTTCAAGATTAATCCATTTAATAGAGAAGCTAAAGAGTGATTATTGATTATTATTGACGATTATAATTTGTTTGTGACTGATCTGACAAGTGTCTTCTTAAAATGCGCAAAGCAAAAAAAAAATCCACATGGATTGAAAGAGAAACAAAAGAAACTTGATTTTTATTTGTGATGTAACGGTTTGCTCTGCAGTAACTTTGAGGCCTTCAGTCGGCCGCACTGAAACTTTGTTCTGCTTTAAAACAGATTGCAGACATCTCACTTTATGCCATATAAGTCAATCAAGAACACACCGCGTGGTCTTTTAAGCACGTTAAAGCACGTGTAACATCAATATTTGCCATTACAGGTTATGAGAGCCGGCTTGTTCCCGCTGGAGCCTTCTGAAAGCACCCTTTAACTGCTGCACATACCTTCACACGCACACACACCCACACACACACACACACACACACCTTATGCTCATGGTGAGTGACCTGTGGTGAGCTGTCAAAGATACTTAAGATGATGTAGGACAGACAAGTGTTGTCAGTGCGGGCACATACACACACATATATACACACATATACACACACATACACATATACACACACATATACACACAGCACACAGGGAGAGAGAGAGAGAGCAAAACCACAGAGGAGGTGCGACAGGAAGGCAGACGGGCTGAGTGGTAATGATAGGTGACTATTCTTCCATCTAGAATAAATCAAGACATGCTGACCACACTGTTGGGAAAACCCAGGCCTGCTATTTGGACGCACACACAAACAAACATATAACCGGTGGATGGACGGTGTATATATGTGAAATAAATAATGGGGAAAGTCCAGGGTTTTATTGCTTTCCTTAAAAGCAAGGCAGATATTATTCCCCATGTATCATCTTGTAAACACAATGGAAACACAATCAGCTATAATCCAGTAGCATTAACATGTTATACACAGAGTACAGCAAGCTCCCCGTGAAGCTGTCCCGGGTTTGGTTCCTTTTATAATCAGGGACCACAAACTTGTTTTCACACTGTGAGAAAAACACAGGAAGACACTGGACACCAGGATTCTCCGCTGAATTTTGAATTGTCCGCTTCATAAAAAGGCCGAGCTTCCCATCAGTTTAGTGCATCATGTAACCATTTCTTTAAAGCTTCGCTGAAGCGTTTTGCTCGTCTGTCTAACACCAAAGCTGGAAAACTCTGTGTAGTATAGAAGAACAGAATTGTGGGTTAAAGAGACATAAAGACCAAGACAGGACTTTTAAGCCTATCATATATGAAGGAATCATCTCTGTGTCTTTCATTTATAGATCTCTATCTCCATCGCGTCTACTTCTATTTATGAGCCGCACGATTTCTGACATTGCTTCCGAGATGAACTTCTGACATTAATCACCTTTTTCTGCCATCATCCTGTTTCCACTTTTTCCTCGCCGTCCTCCTGTTCTCTGCTATCGCCACATCTGGATTATGAATTAATGACTAACATGATCACATTATTCATTTTAGTTTGCAGCTTTCGAGAACAAAGAAGTGGCTTATTTTACCTGCACAGCTTTGTCCATTTTGTATTTACTTTACATTAATTGAGGCTAAAACTGTGATCTGGGGGCAGCAATAAATGTGACTACTGTATTTTCTTTCTGATTTCATGTCATTCTGTCTCTGAGTTTCCCTCCCAGACCTTCCTCCCTCCCCTTTCTTTCCCTCCCTGCCTCCTGCACTCTCCCCTCTCTCTCACTCTCTTTGCATGTGTCATTTTACTGCTCTTTACTCAGCCCGCCAGCAGCAGTCTGTCCTCATCACTCCTTGTCTTTAGATCTCCTTGCTCGGTCCACTGTCGTGCCATTTGTCGCCAGGAAGGGAAAGCGGTGGAAAATTCCTATTCTCTCAGGCTGGATTCACTTGTTTTCACCAATGGATGGAGTTTATTCCCAAGCGCACACAGTGACTTCTTGAAAAGTGAGTTATTCATATTCGAGTAAGCAGACATAAAACTTTGGCAAGCTTAAATGGGTAGAAGTTGAAATGATGCTTTCAGATGGTACCAAAAGTTAAGCAGTTGTTACAAATTATTAATGACATATTAAAACCAAAGAGCTTACAGACTGAAGTTTTATGGCAGTTTTGACTCATGCTTGAGGACAATGTAGCACCAAACTCACATATTTATATGTAAGTAAGCAGGTGCCAGGCTGAGCTGACAGAAGTCATGGTAGTTTATCTTTAAACTGTCAATTGTTATTACAATAAAGTAAACACTAACATCCCTCACAATCATGTTACAAGGAGATATTAATGGGTTTTAACTTGGGGAATATTCTGAAGACTTAAAGTACAGTTTTAAGCCTAATGTAGTTATTTAACAGCTTTAGCTTTTGATTCTGTATTTTAGGCGCAAGACTCACATTGGAAAATTGTTGTTTCTCTTATCACGTATCAATCCCACCCCTTCTCTTTGGCACATTTGCTTTGCATAGTAAATACATGTCTATGATGCATTTTACTATTTTTTAAACAGTTTATTTATAACACTCGTTTATTTTTATGGCGCCATAATAACTGCTAAACACGTGTGTGAAGGAAGTTCACCTCCAACACCCTCTATCTATCCCTCTGTAAGCTGGACACATCCTTCCTTTTTGAATAGTTTTGGGACCACTAACTTCTAATAATTCTTCCTTCAGTTTTCTGTGCTTTGAAGTTTGAAGCTTTGCATTTTCCCACCACTATGAAATACAGATGATGGGTGACTGTCAGTGATTTCTAAGAAAAGCTGGAAAGAAACAAACATGGATTCATTTAAACAAAGTGGCCTATTCTTGGTATAAAATATTTCTTTTATGACCTCCATAATATTTTAAAATGGTAAAATCTAATAAACCACACCACAAACACTCCCTCACTGTCAATGCAAAGGGTTAGCTTAATTAAAGCCCCACTTAATTGACACGTCTATTAGCCGGAGGCCTTTGCCAACAGGCAAAAGATGCCCTCTCTTGAATTAAAAAAAAATCTTAAATGAACATGCCTTTTCTCTAAAAACCGAATATTCCTCTCTTCACTTTGGCAAGCCGTCAATTATTTTAATATCCTTTTGTTTAGCTGACCTCTTTCACGTAGGCGCCTTTGGTTAAACACAGCTGCAGCTAATAAAATTAATAACTCCAGCACCGTTTGATTCACTGTGCCGCTGAGCGTTAACAATAGCGCCGTTTCTGTCGGTGTTCACTGGCGTATATTGTCAGTAGTGGTTCATTTAGCACACCTGAATCAAACGGAGCCATTATTAGCCTAATTTTATTAGCTGCAGCTGTGTTTGCCTTCCTGCCACAACAGGGCCAGAGAAAAACCTGCTTTTTTCTTCTTCTTTTCAGAGCTGCTAATAGCTGCTGCTGTTCCTCTGGGTGTAAGTTATAACTTCAGACGACAGTAGAGTAAGTAATAATGTGGATATGTATGCCGAATTAATGATGAGTTAGCCAGTATTTAAAATACTGCAAATTTATTAATAATTATTCATAAATAGCTGTTATTTAGGAGATTTTGAGAGAAGAGAGGAGGGGTTCTGCTGAAACAAGCTACAGTAGCTGACAGGAGGCTTTTAGAGGCAAATATGTCATATTAAGTATGGCAACATAAGGAGTGTGGGGAACGAAATGTGTTATAAAGTATTTAATAATAATATGTATTCGCTAGTATAAGTGTTAGATAGTGAACTTTAAAAAATAATTGGCTAAAATGCCCCCAGTGTGAAAGTAATTTCACTGTACAGACAGAAAGGCAAAGTAAAACTTTTTTGTTGTTGTTGTTGTTTTGTTTTTTTAAAAATAGGGAGTTGGTGTTAACGGGAAAATGATTTTCCACTTAAAGGAGGTTTTTATCTAAGTGGGATACATACAAATACTGAGAGCTTCCAGACCAGCATTTCCCCTCTACAGAACAGAGTCACTGTGTGGTTTTCTAAAAAAGCTTCTCATCTCTTTTTTTTTCTCCAAGAAAAACATCCCTTAGTATGATCTGTTGCTTATTCTCTAAGTGAGCAAGCAGCGATTGGAAACTATATGTTTGAGCCATGTTAGAGGCTCCTGATGAGATGTAAACTTTCTTTTTAAGGTGGTTTTGCTGCTAATATAGTGTATTAACCATAGTTGCATAATCCTCATAGTTTAGTTTATCTTGGTGGGACAATCACCAGTTGTGGTCCTGTACGGCTCACTATAGGTATTAAATGTGCTTGCAATGAATTACAGTGAATCTATAGAATCTATTATTACACTACTCTGGTCAAGAGTTCATCTTCTGATTGAAGCGGTGTGTTTACACGATGAGATTATTGGAAATGCAGATTTAAACTCTTGTCTGTCTACATATTTAGAATATAGATCCCGAAAGCATCTTGAGCAACCCACAAATCTTCCAGAGGTCGTTAAGACCCTCGCCACAAACATTTAGGTGTCACCAGACCCCAATCATTTCAGCTAAATACAACTCAGCTTGGTTTTAATCTCCTGGGCCATCAGGTTTCAATCCAGTATCCCTACTCTTAGAATTCACAGTTTAATTCATTAAAAAGCAGTTAAAGGCCCTTTAAGCTCTGCTTTTACGCACACTCCCTAAATTAGAGTCTGCTGGAGGTTTTCCGTGTGTTTCTACATCATTTGTCGGTCGAAGGCTACTGAGTGTGCCTGTACATTTGGCCTCCATGTGCGCTAGTAAAGAGTGCGTGCTGAGAGTGTGTGGTCTCTGAGCTGTACTCCCACCGACTGTGTTGCTTGAAGTAGTTTTAATGTGTGTATGAGTGAGTAAAAGACACTTTACTCCAAAAAGCAGTGTACAAAGGCTAACTGCATCTTACCCCCTCTGTTTTTGATATGAATTTAAAACATCAGTAGTAAAACGCTGTTTCAGTTACAGCTCTGAAATATGTGAGACTCTAGTCAGTGCCTGACTTTAAAATATATTCACGTGGTTCAGCATAATCATACAGCGAGCTCAAGAATGTGTAGTCACAGTGGGGCTGGAATATGCCGTATTCTTTATGTACAGAAGTGATCGATTAAGTCAATAAAGGCCTCTCAGCCACACTGATGTGGTGTAAAATTAAAAATGGAGCTTTTCTTATAAACTTATAGGTCATAATCAAAGTTCACCTTCAAAATAAGAGTCTTTTTGGGCCTGCACCAGGAATCTTTAAACAAATGACAGCAATTCTTTACTGAATAAATTGCTGGGCCTCGCCACATGGCGTGCACCCACACACATCTGTATCCTGGCACATTGCGTTTAAAATCAAACAGGTATTACAGCGTGAGGCCAGAGTTGTTTTTACATATGCATTCGATGAAGAATTTAGGAACTGTCCCCCTCCTTTTTTGCCTCGCGTTCAATGGAGCCAATTTTTCCAAGGGTCCTATATCCAACATGGATACATGGTAGGTTAAGCGGTTTGCTTTCTTTGGATGAACTGCTCGATTTTACACTCTGACACGTGTGAAATAAAGAAGGAAAAAATTAGTCCAATCATAACCCGAATGCATAAACTATGGTCTATGGGTCATAATGCGAGCTGAAGTAAAGGGTTCATCAAGAGAAAATAAATCTGCAGGAAAAATAAATGTTAGGTATCTTTTTATTCTATTTTCTGACACTTTATAATTGAATTCATTACAGTAACTGTGTTTGATGACTAGGATGGCTGATGTTTATCACTATGAGCTTCTGGTTTCTCATACACAGCAGAATGTGTTCACACAATTCACAGTACTGTGAGCGCTGTGTGGCAGCAATGGTAGCGTCATATCAAGTTACTAGTTTGAAAAATGCTCTTTTGGTAAGTTAATAAACAGTGAGAGCATAGTTTTCAGCATATAAAGAATATTTCTTTACTCCCTGCCAGCACTGATCAGATAGCAGTGTTTTAAAAGCATAGCAAACCAAAACATTATTCAAAAAAGTCTTAAAAATTGTGTTTAAATCTAAACTGATTCCTTTCACATCCTGTGTGCTTCGCCGTGATGCCTCCATGTCCACATTACATTTTTTTGTCAAACCTCAAAGCCATTTACTTTTTTCTTCCCACATTTTATGTCTCCTCATTAATGACTTAAATGTTGCTCTGGTTAGTGGAGAAAATGCGAACGAGGGAAAGGGGCTGATTATAATCCATTACCCCAAATATTAAAAAAATGTGCTTATTAAAAGCAGACCAAACTCAAATTGAGAGGGAGAGAGAGGACTTTGTTGTTTTAAGTTTACATGCAATAAAATCAGAATTCATTAAAAAAAGGTCTAATGTAGAGTAAGACTGGATGTACTGGAAAAATAATCTGACTGAAACTATGATTGTGAAGAATTGGATCGGAGAAGTTAAGGCGTGAGGCTTTTATTTTGTGTTGATGACTATGCTCACTAAAGAGCACGGGTGCAAAGAGCACGGTCTGGGTTTGCTCCACAGAAAGTTCAACACTGAGTGTCTCAAGCATAGCTGAGCCTTTCCAGGTGCTTCTGCTTGTTCTTGCACTGGGGACTGGGGTCATTTGTGCAAGCTCCTACTAGATCCTGTAGTGTTGTGTGTTGTAGTGAGTGTGTGAATAACTGTACGTAAAATGTATTCCAGTGTTGTCACATTGACGCCAGTGTTGTACTGTCTATGAGTGTGTGACAGCGTGACCTTCAGCTCAAATGTGCAGATACTACGCTACAATAACTACATTACAATATACCAGCTACACAGGCAGACTCCAAGCATGAATAACTGATTGCGCTCAGTGTTTGCAGCTTCTGCTTGCAGACATGCGAGCACGTATAAACTTTTGATGGAGCTGAACCAGACAGCTGAGTGTTAACATGCTGTGAGAGGATGTATATTAAACAAAACCAGAGTATTTCTTTTTTATTTACATCAAATCAAATCAGAAGGCAGGAGAAAACCAAGCTTAAACTGTCCCGTGTGAGAGCTGAAAGTTTGGCCGTTTTTGATGTCGAAACACTCGAGGAAAACTTGCATGTGTCATTTCAGATGATGTGAACAGAGAGACGTAGTTGTACTACTTGAAGCCTTAGAAGGCGTCAGACAATAGAAATGAGATGCTAATATATTTTGGCAGCTGTTAATAGATCTAAGACGCCTGCCCAAGTGAAGACGAGGAATCTGTTTACAGGACCGTTGAAGCATTCAGGACTTTCTCTTCTGTTTCCTGGTCCAGTGTGGAGGGGCCTCATTGTGCTCCATACGTTGTGATTCTTTTATTTATTTTTTCCTCGTTTGTGTTGGCCAAACTCTTTTAATGGCAGCTATTAATTTTGCATGTGAGTTTTATTATAATAATGTGTCACATTTGGCGCAGACTCGCGTGTCACTGCCGACTTTACGGCCATACCACTGAAAACCACACAGCGTGAGGAAAAATACAAAGCTGTGAGCACAATTGAGCAGCGCCGAGTCTATTTAACGGCGTAAGTTGGATTCAGGTTCTCAGCTTATTACTCATGAAGCTTCAGCAAATGTAAATATAAGAGGACTGTTGTTTCTGACAGCACAACAGTGCAGATAAACCTTTTTATAGTATACAGAAATATGTGTAAACAGGATGTTTCTCATTCTTCTTTGTTAACAATCAGTTGTTTGTTACCATGTGCCATAAATCTAGAGTGTACACACTTTTTTTTAATGAGCCTCAGCAATAATTGTTTGAATGTTTTGTGCAAGATTAGGAACCCATGAGGACGGATTTGCAGTTTAAGTGCTTTCAGTCACATCATCGTGTTGCTTTGGGCCTTCTTCGCTTTCTTTCTTATGATATGATCTCATGTGACCAGTTGCAGTGCCGTCTATTGAAGTGATTACCAGGAAGTGGGTTAATTTTCGTTTAGTCTAAGTTGTACATGAGTATATTGTGTCTGCAGTTGTTAGATGAGTTTAACTTGCTTATCAAAAGTAGTAGAAACAGCTCACCTGGTTCAAACGTAACAGTTCACCCTCCAGAGATAAAGGTAAACACGCAAATTCTTTTAAATCTGTACAAAAAGTGCGACAGCAGTTACTTCCTTTGTTGTGTGAACTTCACCTCGTCTTGTCACTCGGAGCTATAAAACACTATATAGTATTGTAACCTCCCCTCAGGTCGCACAGTGTCACGTCTTGTGATTTCATGCTGTGTGCTGTGATGTACTCCGTCCTCTCCCGGTTTCTTCTATCGTGTCCTTCCCTGTCATGTTGTCTCACATGCTCTCCGTGTTATTTAATCGTGCGCATAACAGTTGATACTGAGTCTACCTCGAAGCAAAAGTAGGCATCTCATCTTGAATATTATTTGCTATAATTTTATCCTCTCCGGTAGCAGAGTGACAGGAACGTCATAGTCGCACCACAGGAACTCCAGGTAAATAAGCTAATCGGACTGTATATTGGAGAAAGCGGCTGCATATTTTAGCATATTAATGAAAGCAAAACAGACTTTTTATTTTAATATTTATTTAATATCTTGATGTTTTTTAGACGCAGACTGAAAAGACGGGAATAAAAGTCAAGCACATTCACATAGTATTGCAAAAGATGAGCTCATTAGCATATAGTGATGTGTTCTGCAGCAGCGTGCAGTTTAAGCTCTTGTTGTTGCTTAGAAGAGGCTCGAGCGATTTGAAGTTAAGAAGAGAGTAAATGTAGGCATTTGAAAATTACTACTGCGTAGCATACTATTTTTATAAAGTACAGTTCTGCTTATTTGCATCCACAGTATACAGTGTGCACTATCACTGTATTCATATGCGCTTTAAGCACCTTCACGTCTTTCATTATAACCTGTTGTGTACTCCTGTGAGCCTAAACAGCGGATAATAAACGGGTCTGTGTTTAGTCTGTTGTGGTCGTCCCTGCCTCACTTCTGTGTAAATAAGAGAAAAAAATGTGTTAGCTGGATTGACTGGGCAGGGAAGGAACAAAGTCAGAGTGGTTGATGAAACAGTCTGTAATGGCTCTACACTGTCAACAATGGTAAAATAAGAAAGATGATATAGTTGATCGGCACGCTGTAGATCAACTATATCGTGTGTTATTTTTGTTTTTTACGATTGTTTTATTTTAGTGCTGTGGGTTTTTCTTTCCATCGTGAAGAAAACACTGGAAAAGATGACAGTGCAAGCTATTTATGCATATGGTAGATCTCTGGACCACCTGAATGTGTAATAAAATGAAAGCTGGCCCACTTTCTTTGAAGGCTGCAAAGTTCTCAGGAGAAGCTGTCGAGGACAATTACTGTAACATCACTGTTACTGACTCATTGTTTCAAGGATCTGTGATTTGCACTTTTTTGATGAGGTTCTTCCTCCTCATGGTGTAGTTCAGGGGTGTCAAACTCAAATACACAGTGGGCCAAAATTCAAAACTGGAACAAAGTCGCGGGCTAACGTTAATATTTATTGAAAACAAAATCTTCCTCCAGATTTAAGAATGAATCTTTTCTTATGGAATCAAACAAGTTTTGCTGAAAAGCTGAATATGGAACAAGCAAAGCTTAATACTAAACAATATATATATTAGCTGTATAATACCAGTAGGCCAGCTCTAATAGTAATTTGGTGTGGCTTCGAGGGCCAAATGTAATTAGGCTGTGGGCCAAATTTGGCCCGCAGGCCAGAGTTTGACACCTATGGTGTAGTTTTGCATTCACCTACTAAATGAAAGCTCCCTGGTTAGATCCTGGGAGGATGCACAAATACCTGTGGGATTGTGTCAGGAAGGATGTGTAGTAACATCAAACATGTGGCACTACCTGCTGTGGGGACTGCTGGTGAATAAGGGTTCAGCCAAAAGTAGCGTTTTTTTAACCTCACTCCAGACTGGTGAGTTCATACAAAGACTTGTTGTATTTCATAATCCACCCATGTGTCTCTTATCTCTAGGTTGTTAATTTCGGCCTCGCTGATGTAGAGCTGTTACTGACTAATTCACGTTGTAGTTATTAATCGCTGTAGATTCAATTGTGCTAAAGCAAAGCTCTTGTGTGTTGCCAGCTTCACAGGCTATGCTGTGTGTTCCTCCTGGAGTTTGCAAGAGGATGGAGCAGCGTGGAAACGCAGGGGGGGAAGCGGAGAGCCCCAGCCGCCAGGACAGCGCCAGCCCAGAGGAGATGGGGGAGAAAGGGGAAAGTCCCACTTCCAGCGGTGGTCTTCAGTGCAAGCTGAGCCGTATGGAGGTCAATGGCAGCCCAACAAACCCACGAACCCGACAGAACTGCACGCCGCTGAGACCACTTGGAGGTGCGTTGTGTTTAAAGCTGTCAACAGACAGTGAAAGGAGTTAATAAACATTTAGTGGCTCCAACTCTGTATTGCAAGTTCTATCAGTCTCCCCAAATTCTCTCTATGCCATAAACACACAGTAAAATCTCCACTTGAGCCAACTTGGTCTAAACGGTCAGACAATGAAAGACACCCAGCAGTCCCGCCACAACTGCCTCATTTAAAATGACTTTTATCCTTAAATTAAATTCAGCAGCGTAAAGGGAAGATAAAGTGCTCACTTCCAGTTTTATTCATTTAATTATTATAAATGTATTTACATCAATTTTATTAACCTCAAATCAGAATATTTGGTATTTCTGCTTGGTTAGTGATCATACATGTTTAATTACTTTTATTTATTTCTTACTTCATGCAACTGGACAGGTGACAAATGAATGAGTCCATTTTTGAAGGTGAGCTCGGCATGAAAGCCTTTGACAGGAGGTTGTTTAAAAATGTACGTCAGTCTAAATCTTTATGATATCTTGTCTACGGCGTGTTTTCCGCTCCACATCAGTGTACTGAGCACATGAACATCCAGCAGGCTTGATACTGTGTAAAAACGGCTTTGTTCTGAGGCTGTCCCAGCCTTAATCAAAGAGGATATATGTAGTAAAGTTATCACTGCATACTACTTTCTAGCTCATTCGTATGCTGTAATGATTGGATGTAATGGCTAAAAGACACAGCCGTGGCTCTGGTGGCAAAGCAGGTTGTCTGCTAATCACATCACAATCATGAACCCAAGTTTCTCCTGCTGGCAGGAAAAGAAACACATTGTAAAGAGCTTTATAGAGAGTTCGTGGATAGTGTTACAGAGCAGAAGGTACAGAAAACACTCAGTCATAGATGCCCATTATTCTCTCATGCAGTTGAAAACATCATCATGCATCATCACACAAACACTGTAGCGGAACATACACGCACACCCAAACACACACACACTGCTGTGTTACCTCCCTCCACCCTTCCACTCAGCGGTCTGGTTATTGGCTGATAGCGTGCCTGATGCTGCTGCGGTTTGGCTCCGGCTGATCTGTCACTGCTCCGCACACTGGGGGAGAAGGATTGATGACTTGTTAATTAGCAGCTCCTGTGGGACAGACGAGTGGACTGGATGGGTGTGAGTGGTTCTGCGCTTTGAGGATCTCTAAGCACTTATCCGATAACAAGTTCAGACTGATGCATAGGAATCGTTTTCACCGCTGGAGTCGTGGCATCGCTCCTGAGCGCTAGATGCAGCAGTTTAATAGCGGTTCTGGAAACAAGTCTTAACCCTTGTGGCTTTTAATATGTGGTTCAAACACAAATACAGTTGTACAATCTTGCACTGACTTATACTGACACTGGCAGCTGCCCAGTGTAACACAATGAGACCACCAAGCTGCTATAGTGCAGCAGCGCTGACGCACTAAATACTGAACAGACAAATTTGTTGAACTGTGGCTGTGAGCTTCAACTTCTGGAGGAATCCCCGGAGAAAGTAATTTATAACATTAAGTTTGTTTTACTCCCTGGGATGAATTTCCAGTCAGTAATGTAGCATTAAATCTTAAATATGTCCACATATCCTTAGCCCAACAGGGAGGACTTAACATGTTTGAAAATGTATTATTTTTTTATCTACGTATTATACAAATAATTGTAGACCTTTTATAAGACGAGTAACAGTTGTTTTCTTGACTATAATGATACATTGTTACAGCAAAAAAGACATTTTCTCTGTCACCATTTAACAGAGTAAGAATATCTCCTCATTGATAAGAGGGAGGGTGGGAGAGGGGAGCGCTCAAGCATTTGAGCAATTGCTAAAAGGGTAAACTCTCCCACACCTTAACTGCTAGACCAGGGGTCCCCAATCTCAGTCCACGAGGGCCGGTGTCCCTGCAGGTTTTAGATGTGTCCTTAATCCATCACAGCTAATTTAAATGGATAAATTACCTCCTCAACATGTCTTGAAGTTCTCCAGAGGCCTGGTAATGAACTAATCATGTGATTCAGGTGTGTTGATGGGTGATATCTAAAACCTGCAGGACACCGGGCCTCGTGGACTGGGATTGGGGACCCCTATGCTAGACCCTCAGCAACAGAAAGGCCCGGGATGGGAAATCCTGAAAAGATTCATTTCTCCCTTTCACCTGTAAAGTGCTGAATCTTGTAATATTCTGTTTGTTATGCAAAACACATTAACAGGTGGGGTAGAGGGAAACACTGTGAAACGCTAGCGAGGCCTGACCTGCGATTTCCCGTTAAATGCGAGGACCTGGGAAGTGGGTGAGCTACACATTAGCGCTATAACCTTCTCCCTCTCTGTCTTGTTGCGCCAGGTTTGATGATCCCAGTCTACTGTGTGGTGGAGCATGCAGACATGGGAATGGCAGGCAACTGTGAGGGGCGCAGTGACCGCCACGCCGAGTTTGTGTTGGTTCGTAAAGATGTCCTGTTCACACAGCTGGTAGAGACGGCACTGGTTGCTCTTGGATACTCGCATAACTCAGCTGTGCAGGCACGAGGTAAGCAGGGAGTGTGGGTAGGTCTGAAAAGGTAAATTCATGTGGTTTTCAGATGTTACTCACTATGAAGGACATTTAAACTTAAAGCAACTCCGTCCTTGAAAATGAAACATAACTGATTTTTAAATTTGGCTCATTGCCCTGTCATCTCCTGACACTGCTAGTATTTTTAGTCTTCTCTGGAAGTCCCATACTGACCGCTTCTTGGTCAGGAGTACTGGAGCTCCTCGAAACAGTGACTCGTCAACTAGATTTTCATTTGTTGGATTAAGGATGAAGTCACTGAGAGCCAAATCTGTAAAGCAGGACAGGTGGTGTGCACAGATAATGTTGGTGTAGCCAAAAATTATATGGTGGGTACTGCTAAACAGTGTTGTGTGTCACAGTTCAGGTGTTTGTACCAAATGTTCACCCTCGGATCCCTCAAGATGTTGGAGTAGAAAACTTGATTCACAATCTCAGACTCAAGCTGTCTGGGACATTTCCCGGGAATGATCTAAAAGTTGCAGTTGCACTAGAAGTGATCCAGAGGTGCAGACAGGTGTTCAAATTTAACCCTCTCAAGGCAGGCGTTGCAGATTTGCAACAGTTAAAAACTAACAACCTGATTACCCCACATACATATTTTATGAGTTTTTTTTACTCAGAAGTACCACTGCAGGACTTGGTTGTGCATTAGCAACAAAAAGTTTAATTTGAGCCTGAGAGGGTTAAGATCATACCTGGGTTTATAAAATGCATTTCTAAATGTCTTTAGACATTTCTCCCTAAACCTGCTTTAACCTGCTGTCCCTAAACCTGTCAGTTTAGGGAACTAAATTTAATCCATAGTTATTTTGTTCTGTCTGTCTCCTCTCACCCACAACCAATCACTGCACATGGCTGCTGCTCCCTCAGCCTGCTTCTGCTGGAGGCTTCTTCCTTCCCACTGTCTCCAAGTACTTGCTCATAGGTTGTTGGGGTTTGCTATTATTGTTTTCTATTATTGTAGGGTCA